AAATGGCTTATATTGGTGTCCGCGTTCGTTTAACAGAGGTGTTCGCTGAATGCAGGTTAATTTTACAGTAAATGTGTGAAGAAAATTTTGCGACTTACAATGTACGCTGGTGTCCACTCAATAGAGTGTATCTGCTTAATACAGGTTTCACTGTATTTTGTCGCATGTGTAGATTTATTGAGGCATTTATTCCCACTGTTCTTAGTGTTATATGCACAAGACAGTTTTTACATCCTACTCAGGATCTGCGAAGACTTAGTCCTTCTATACTTGTGGAAAACTCAGGGCTCGAAAAAAGTGCTGTCCGGTTGTCTGGAACAAGTAGATTTTCCTGTCAGGCAAGGAACTTTTCATTCTCCTTTGCTAAATGGTCAGGGCTCAGGCAAATGGTCAGGGCTCAGGCAAAAGTAAACTACTGTAAGACTTGCCCAGGGCAAGCAAAATTTGAGAGCTGCTTGTCCAAAGGGCAAGCAAGAATTCAAGTCTTTTCGTGCTCTGGAACTCCTGGACTTGTAAAGTACTCTTCCAATTTGGCCTGGAGAAAATTCCCAGAAAATATTTTTTAGCATGCTTGCTGGTGTGTGCAGGTGAATAGAAGGCAAAACGTTTACAACATGTCCGACATGTACATGGTAATCAATAAATTTATATTTTTTTATAAAGAATGACGGGCATTGCTGTGGATAAAGTTGGTGCTCACACAGTTGTATACACATCAACAGGTAAAGTCAAGGTTGATAGGGAGCTTAAGCGACAACGACGGCGACGCCGAGGACAACGCCTAGTTAAAAATAAATTTATATTTTACCAGCAAAATTCGCGATTGTTTAGATCTGTTCAGTTCGCCAATGGCTCTAAAAACGCGCTCAGGCTAAATATGCAATGACAGCGTTCAATTCCAAATGGAAATACGAAAAATTAGCGGTCGTCGTTAGAGTTCATCAGACTACGCAGAACTTGGTCTTTTCACGTTCTTGTTTTGCAGAGGACGGCAAAGAAATGTACAAAGATTTATAACGTATGTGCACAGCTATTGGTTTGCTCATTAAACCTTTTATTTAGTGACGTTCTCGTTGCCGTCGTCGTCGTGGTTTGCTTAAGCTCCCTAATATTCAGCAATTTCATACGCGTGGAAATTGAGAGCAAATAATGTCAGGGGGTTAAGGAGAATGTGCACTTCCATTATCGTAATATTATTAGGAATGAAGAGGGGCCTGTTGTTTTTAACCCTTCAAATGTTTTGATCTAGCAAATTTGCTGGTTTGAACTCTGCCTTGAGGCCACCTTGTTAATACAACTCTTTGTGGTTATGACAGCGGGTTTTGCCGTTATGGAGCAAAAGTTCAGTCAATTTGTTATCTGAAAATCTCTTTAGTACCACTACATTGTAAGTGTGACCATTGGACACCCTTTTGGAGTTCCTGAACCATTTATTTAGTAATTGTCATAAGGCACATGATTTTCGCAGTTTTCTACATGAAGGTCAAAACCACGCATAAAATGCCAGTCTCCCAGGAAATCAGAAAAAGATACTTATGGATTGTTGAAGGGTGATTTTTGCTGTACCTGAATGCATTACCCATGATGATTTTTTGCATCGTGAATGTGTTATCCATAATTTCATCTCTTATAAAGCGTTAGTGCACTAAATATATTAAATTGTTTACAAAAATTAGGCAGTTTGTTTTAGGTTTTCATCGATGAAAACATGTCTTTTTTTTTTTTTTTCAAAGCTAGTTCATGGTAGTACGTGTTCTTAAATTGTGACCACTTAAAATGCCGTATGCCTGATCAGTTCGCTGTGTTGCGAACAAGAGCCGATTGGTAGGGAATCAGCCAATTACATTCTTATTTGTTGAACTCCTACAGCAGTATCGATGGTTGTTGAGTTCCCTGTTTCCTCCGGCCACTCCTCAGTCCCACTCACAGAAGATTACGTTAATGCATAACTGTTAGACGTCACAATTTGTTTTTTTGCAGACAGAGGATCTGTGCTTAAAATTTCAAGGCCTGCTGGTGCACATCAACCATGTCTTCTCACTGAATTAGATATTTTCCCAGTGAGTATTACTAGAATCACATTAGAACTCTTTTAAAATGGCTTATATTGGTGTCCGCGTTCGTTTAACAGAGGTGTTCGCTGAATGCAGGTTAATTTTACAGTAAATGTGTGAAGAAAATTTTGCGACTTACAATGTACGCTGGTGTCCACTCAATAGAGTGTATCTGCTTAATACAGGTTTCACTGTATTTTGTCGCATGTGTAGATTTATTGAGGCATTTATTCCCACTGTTCTTAGTGTTATATGCACAAGACAGTTTTTACATCCTACTCAGGATCTGCGAAGACTTAGTCCTTCTATACTTGTGGAAAACTCAGGGCTCGAAAAAAGTGCTGTCCGGTTGTCTGGAACAAGTAGATTTTCCTGTCAGGCAAGGAACTTTTCATTCTCCTTTGCTAAATGGTCAGGGCTCAGGCAAATGGTCAGGGCTCAGGCAAAAGTAAACTACTGTAAGACTTGCCCAGGGCAAGCAAAATTTGAGAGCTGCTTGTCCAAAGGGCAAGCAAGAATTCAAGTTTTTTCGTGCCCTGAAACTCCTGGACTTGTAAAGCACTCTTCCAATTTGGCGTGGAGAAAATTCCCAGAAAATATTTTTTAGCATGCTTGCTGGTGTGTGCAGATGAATAGAAGGCAAAACATTTACAACATGTCCGACATGTACATGGTAATTAATAAATTTATATTTTTGTTTTTATAAAGAATGACAGGCATTGCTGTGGATAAAGTTGGTGCTCACACAGTTGTATACGCATCAACAGGTAAAGTCAAGGTTGATAGGGAGCTTAAGCGACAACAACGGCGACGCCGAGGACAACGCCTAGTCAAAAATAAATTTATATTTTACCAGCAAAATTCGCGATTGTCTAGATCTGTTCAGTTCGCCAATGGCTCTAAAAACGCGCTCAGGCTAAATATGCAATGACAGCGTTCAATTCCAAATGGAAATACGAAAAATTAGCGGTCGTCGTTCGCGTTCATCAGACTACGCAGAACTTTGTCTTTTCACGTTCTTTTTTTGCAGAGGACGGCAAAGAAATGTACAAAGATTTATAACGCACGTTTCATCTATTGTTTTGCTCATTAAACCTTTTGTTTAGTGACGTTCTCGTTGCCGTCGTCGTCGTGGTTTGCTTAAGCTCCCTAATATTCAGCAATTGCATACGCGTGGAAATTGAGAGCAAATAATGTAAGAGGGTTAAGGAGAATGTACAGTTCAATTATCGTAATATTATTAGGAATGAAGAGGGGCCTGTTGTTTTTGACCCTTCAAATGTTTTGATCCGGCAAATTAGCTGGTTTGAACTCTGCCTATTAAGACCACCTTGTTAACACAACTCTTTGGTTATGGCAGCGGGTTTTGCCGTTATGGAGCAAAAGTTCAGTCAGTTTGTTATCTGAAAATCTCTTTAGTACCACTACATTGTAAGTGTGACCATTGGACACCCGTTTGGAGTTCCTGAACTATTTATTTAATAATTGTCATAAGGCATGTGATTTTTGCAGTTTTCTACATGAAGGTAAAAGCCACGCGTACATTATGACTAATTGACCTTTGTTTGTGCACAAAATGCCCGTCTCCCAGGAAATCAGGAAAAAGATATTAATGGATTGTTGAAGGGTGAATTTTGCTGTACCTGAATGCATTACCCATGATGATTTTTTGCATCGTGAATGTGTTATCCATAATTTCATCTCTTATAAAGCGTTAGTGCACTAAATATATTAAATTGTTTACAAAAATTAGGCAGTTTGTTTTAGGTTTTCATCGATGAAAACATGTCTTTTTTTTTTTTTTTCAAAGCTAGTTCATGGTAGTACGTGTTCTTAAATTGTGACCACTTAAAATGCCGTATGCCTGATCAGTTCGCTGTGTTGCGAACAAGAGCCGATTGGTAGGGAATCAGCCAATTACATTCTTATTTGTTGAACTCCTACAGCAGTATCGATGGTTGTTGAGTTCCCTGTTTCCTCCGGCCACTCCTCAGTCCCACTCACAGAAGATTACGTTAATGCATAACTGTTAGACGTCACAATTTGTTTTTTTGCAGACAGAGGATCTGTGCTTAAAATTTCAAGGCCTGCTGGTGCACATCAACCATGTCTTCTCACTGAATTAGATATTTTCCCAGTGAGTATTACTAGAATCACATTAGAACTCTTTTACAAAACCCTGAAACTTTCAAGGAAATAATTCATAGCCACAGGAGGGTCATTGGAGATTCTGAGGGGGAGGGGTAGGAGGTTTACAGAAGGCAAAGACTTGGGGAAAGTATGTGATGTATGGAGCTTAATATTCAAGACAGGCTTAATTTGTGAATAGGTTCAAACCATGAAACCTTGTATGGGAGGGGTGTGGCTATTTTCTGGAACAACAGAATTTATTATCACATGTGATTGTAGGATGGTCCATGCCATAACGTTGTCAAGATAATGTTACCATTCAATGAGAGAATCTTTCTCTGCTGGACTGGAAATCAAATGACTGGCTGTGCTTGGAGAAATGTATGTTACTGTTAGACTATATGAAAATGCTAAATAGTACAACAATGTCATGAATGTAGTTTCCTCACCAAAAGCCAAATACTACATGATGTGCAATTTCCAGCATGCATAAGTATCAAAAATATTTTTGTGTTTAAAAAGTTATTTTCAGTTTAAAATAGCTATTATTACAGTTACAGTGTATCAACAGTTTGACAAAAGGGTCAATTCTGCTTTGTATCGACTTGTTTGCCTTTTTAAAGAAAAGAATATTTGACCACAGACTCATCAGTAGTAAATGTATTGTGTTAAAGGAGTTTGATCTTCAATAGTGTCATGTGCTTTAGTCGATTTCATGGCAACAAGACAAAGGAAAACAATACACAAATGTATGTTATACAAACAGTCTCCAAAGAGTTGTGGTAAACATCACTTTGTGTGAAAACTTTTTGAGAAATTATAATGATTGTGATGTTTTTTTTTATCTGCCAATTTCACGAGCTCATAAATTCTATCAGGAGGTTGTTAAGTTGGTACTTTTGCAACACTCGTGGGTTGGGTGGGGCCATCGTCTAGCTGTTAGTGATATATTCCAGACATGTTTAACTGGTGCTCATGATTTTATAAGTTTAATGGTAAGGCCAAGGCTTAAGTAAGTCAAATGAGAGAAGTTAGTTACCTTTCCTACATCAGTTACTTAAATGTGATAATTATTTTGTCCACAGAGGACAAACTTAAGTGATGTTCCAGGCAGCGATACAAAAGGAAATGTATTCACATCTGAAGTGGAATATTCCAGCAGTCCAGATCAGAATGACACGGCTATCATAAAAGGTTTGTCTTGATTAAGTACAACAAACTGCCACTCTGCCATGGCACGTTTGAAAGTCAGCATCACTTGACTATAATATGATTTTTCACTTTTTTTTACAGAACATGGGACAATCTTTACAGGCACAATAAACCCGTATTCAGGAAAACCAATGATTTACAGCAGAAGTTTACAACCCGGACGTTCTAAGGTCTTCACATCCTNACAACAAACTGCCACTCTGCCATGGCACGTTTGAAAGTCAGCATCACTTGACTATAATATGATTTTTCACTTTTTTTACAGAACATGGGACAATCTTTACAGGCACAATAAACCCGTATTCAGGAAAACCAATGATTTACAGCAGAAGTTTACAACCCGGACGTTCTAAGGTCTTCACATCCTTGCTGGATCAAAGTGACTTCTACACAGGTTTGTATGATAATTTTGACAGCTTTCATTCAAACATTTTCAATGATTTAGAGTGAGAGAAAAGTGTACTCTTGATTGAATGGTCCAGGTTCAAGGCCTTGCCAGGGACATTGTGTTGTGTTCTTGGGCAAGACACTTTACTCTTGTAGTGCCCAAGGCTGGATTGAGGGGTAACCAGCATCCTTTCCAGAGGGAGTAGGAATATTCATAGTATCAAAATGCTACAGAAACCAGGATAAGCTCTGGTATGCATGTAATTATGAACCACTTGGCCTGATACAGACTCTTTTGAAGATAACACTGTATATTATTTTGGTAATTCTTCTTTCTCGTTTAATCAGATGTGCACTTTGTAAAAAGTTTCAACATTGGGCATTATATTTACTTCTTTTTCCGTGAACGTACGTTGGAATGCTCCAGCTGTGGAAAGTTCAAAATCTCTAGAGTGGCCAGGATTTGTAAGGTAACCGTCATCCACGCATGTATGGTAAATTCGGCGATTTTCACACCTTTGGTTTGAAATGCTACACCCTTTGGTCAAACTCTTAATTAGGGAGCTTTACACGGTACGACAAGCTTACTACAGGCCTACGACATGAATTGTTTCATGTAAATCAAACCTACAACTCGCTTATGAGTGTTGTGTACATAAAAGAATGTTGTAGGATTTTAAAACACTGGGACAATTGTAGCCGAACTCAATAGAAAATGATGTATTTTGTGACAAATTTCTGCTGACTAGGGGATGAGGTGAAGTTTTCTTACATCAAAATGGACGAACATGTTCTTGACTGATTCACATGCAGATGTTTCTCGAAAAGTACTGAATGGATTAAAGCGAAAAACATCTCTTTAGAACGTTTTCTCAAAGCAGAGGACAGCTAAAATATTTTTTTACTGTTTGTTAGATTTTTCACTCTGAAAATCCAGGTGCAAACTGTGGCATATTTAATTTTGTAAGTGAAAATGTCGAGCTCCTGTAAATGGTCCTAAGTCATGTCGTAGGCCTGTCGTAAGCTTGTCACATGCGACAAAGTCATACCGTGCAAATCGGCCCTTAGAAACCATGACGGCGACGTCAAGGGAAACATCGATTAAAAATGAGTTTATTTTTTACCTATGAATCTTGCGATACTCTAAAGTTATTTACTTTGTTTATCCCTGTCACAACTATCACAAAACAGAATCTTGGACGCATCGATAAATTTGAAATAAAAATGTAAAAAATTAGCCATCATGGTTCACATTCTCCAGACAATGCAGAATTTGGTCATTTCACGTTGTTGTTTTGCAGAGGACGGCAAAGAAATGTACCAAGAATTACAACACACTTGCACAGCCATTGTTCTCCTCATTAAACCTTTTGCTTAGTGACTTTGCTGTTGCCGTTGTGGTTACCTTAAGTTTCCTATTATTAAAAAAGGGGGGCTTTTCTAATGTCAGTGGATGTTTATAAATTGTAGATTGAAGTGAAAGAAGAAAAATCAGAAAACCTCTTACGAAATTTGAAAATTCTTACTCCAATACTTGATAAAATGTATGTTGAACAATGTGGCCCAGGTCTGTAATTCAACACCAGAGTTTGAGAAAGATGCCTCAAACAAAGTAATATAATTGATGAAATTGAAATTTATTGATCATTGTAGATCTTTACTTGAAGGCACATCCAACAGTATCATTTGTCAATTGAAGTTTTCGCTTTGTCTTTTCCTCAGGGAGACTACGGCGGTCAGCTTGGCCTTAGGAAAAAATTTGTCACCTTTCAGAAGGCGAAACTGATTTGTTCAGATGGAGCAGATTTTCCATTGAATTTCAACGAAATCCGTGAGTGATTTTGTGAAATAATATATTGGTTTTCAAATAATACGTAAGAGGTGTGTCTTAGCTTAGCTTAAGTTATTAGAAATTAGGATCGGATGGGCTTAATAAGCCAATTTTGATATATTAAAATTTTGACTTGGTTCCGAGGCTTAGAGAAATAAAACAAAAGAAATCACATCAAGCTTGAGGGATGAATTTAATTTATTTCTTTTGTTTTATTCTGCTAAGCCTTGGAACCAAGTTAGAATTGTACTATATTGAAACTTCCACTGCACAATCAAAAATGTAATGGAGAATAATATGGCAGATGTATGGAGATGTCACAAACTCTAAACCAGATTTGCTCTATTGAAAAAGTGGATTGAGTAAATTTTGTTGGTAAAGTTGTACCACGGGATTGTCATTGACTCTTAACTGATAATTTCTCTTCTTTTCTTTCACAGAGGATGTTTGGTGGGAAGAACAGGCCAACTCATTCTATACCATTTTTCATTCTCATCCGTGAGTTTCAAAGAATTGGTTTGTTTGCTTATTGTACAGCCATTTTAATTAAACCACTATTTTAGTAACAAAGTACAAAATAAAATAATGAATTTTGTGTTAATTTAAAGCCCATCTGCAGGGTCAAATTGTACTTACCTGATAATCAGTTTATACCACACATAGTTAACTGCAGTGTAAGAATGGAAATTGTTAACAAATCCAAGTACAAAAATTGTTTAGCAACACTCTTAAGTCTTTGATTTGAGTTTGCATGGTTCATTTTGAAGTAGTTGTGCTTTTAATGATTCCCCTAAGGTAATAAACATCTACTTAAATTAAATTTGTTCTCTTTCCAGCAATGGACCCCCATCATCAGCTATTTGTATGTACGATCTGTCTGACATCAATCAAGTTTTTGATGAAAGCCCTTTCAAGTCATTTGATAATCAAGAGAAACAGTGGATCACGGTACAAAACAATCACAAGGAGTATTTCAAGGATGTAAGTAGTTTTTTTTGCTGTTCACTGGGCTTGAGGTGCAGAGGACTAAAGCCCCAGAGGGGAGGGGAAGGGGCACCTAAATGGTGTCAGCAAAGATTCCAGTAGGTAAAGGCCCAGCTGAACAAAAAACAAATTCTATGCTTGCTGCTTAACTTCCAGTGTTACAGAAATGAAATAAAGTTAACCAGTTGTTGCCATTCTTAGTTTCTCCCTTGAACAGGATGTCATTTTTTGGGTTTGTGCATTAAATAGGGTATCAATTTGCATTTTCTTCAGCCTTAAATAGGATCAGGGTTTAAGACCCTTTGCGAGACACACCTATCCAAAATTTATGGGGATACTGCCCTGGAATAAAATTTGGTCTCACACTTGGTGTCATTTTTGCCTCCTGTAGTGTAAAGTGAATCAAAAGTATATTGATCCGACTAGCAGTGCAAGTGTTCCAGATGGAATGATGGCGACAAAGAAAATGAAATTCAGTGTGTATCGAGAGTTGATGCATGATCCACTCATGGAAGATCCAGTACAACCCATTAGTTTTGACGCCCAGTCTCAGAAAGTGTCAAGAGCTTTGTTCATTAAGGATGGAATCAGGTCAGTGATGGTTGCTGTCTTGAAATTATATTGTATCAAGAGAAGATGTAGGGTAATAAAATTAATCACCCTCTCAAGATATTTTTAGACATGGTACATGTACCCTGTTCTTCTGCGGATCTTACCATGGCAGTTGCGTGATAAAAATGTGTGTAAAGCTGTTTGGTCTGTCCACGTCAGCAATTCACTCTTGAGATTTCCCAAACCAGGAGTAATCTAAAAATACCTTAAGAGGAATCATCTTGAGAATAAACTTGTCCTATATGGGGGATTAATTCTCTTACTCTTCATGCTCTCTTGATTGTATGTACTGTGAAACCTGTATTTTAAAAGCAGACACCCTTGTTACCGTCACTAGTGCCCGCTTAATACAGGGTGTCCACTCTAAACAGGTTCTAGTATGTTATGCAATAATAGTTAATTATTAACCCTTTTGTAACACAGTGTAAGATCAAAGTCTAGCTAAGACTGCTCATAGTACATTTAAGTGTCCAGTCAATCGATCTATCAATCTTGAATAATCACTTAGCTTTAAAATGACAGCACTGAACAATGTTAAAGGATTCTCAGCTGAACCTTTAGAAGTAAAAAGCCCTTGAGGTGTCTGCTTATTGCAGGTTTTGCACAACCAAATGGCTTATATTGGTGTCCGCGTTCGTTTAACAGAGGTGTTCGCTGAATGCAGGTTAATTTTACAGTAAATGTGTGAAGAAAATTTTGCGACTTACAATGTACGCTGGTGTCCACTCAATAGAGTGTATCTGCTTAATACAGGTTTCACTGTATTTTGTCGCATGTGTAGATTTATTGAGGCATTTATTCCCACTGTTCTTAGTGTTATATGCACAAGACAGTTTTTACATCCTACTCAGGATCTGCGAAGACTTAGTCCTTCTATACTTGTGGAAAACTCAGGGCTCGAAAAAAGTGCTGTCCGGTTGTCTGGAACAAGTAGATTTTCCTGTCAGGCAAGGAACTTTTCATTCTCCTTTGCTAAATGGTCAGGGCTCAGGCAAATGGTCAGGGCTCAGGCAAAAGTAAACTACTGTAAGACTTGCCCAGGGCAAGCAAAATTTGAGAGCTGCTTGTCCAAAGGGCAAGCAAGAATTCAAGTTTTTTCGTGCCCTGAAACTCCTGGACTTGTAAAGCACTCTTCCAATTTGGCGTGGAGAAAATTCCCAGAAAATATTTTTTAGCATGCTTGCTGGTGTGTGCAGATGAATAGAAGGCAAAACATTTACAACATGTCCGACATGTACATGGTAATTAATAAATTTATATTTTTGTTTTTATAAAGAATGACAGGCATTGCTGNTTAGTCTTCCATGTCTTGCCAAAACACGAACCATGGCTCAAACAATCGCGTCTGATATGCCACAGATGCTTACCAAAAAATACGATTAGTATACGCATCAGTAAATTATTTTCATGTTCAGGGGCCAAATGGCTTATTCTGAACTATTTAACTTACAGTGTACAACTAAATTATAAAGCGATTTTAATTCTAAATAATAGTTGAGTTAGAAAGAAAAACACCCGAGAAGTGATAAAAAAGGTGGAGAAGATAAAGACGAACTGGGAACACACTGTCTCACGGGTTTATGTTGGTCGTGAGTTAACGCAAACTTTGATGACCGTAGACGGCAACTAGAATGTCGTGAAATAAGACATTTCATCACAGTGGAAAAGTCAAACATTTCGTTTGTTTTCAACTCTGAGTTGTTAAATTAAATTAACTGCTGTGATCCTTCGTCGGGGCACAGTGGTCCGACGAAGGGCCAACACCAAATTTGTCACACGGCTTATTATGATTTTTTTATTAGGTCGTAATTGATAATCAGAAAAGTCTTTCACTAACACAACGATTCTGCGTGCTGTATCAGTTACCCTGGGCATCATCAGTCACTGAAATGTAAAAATGGTAAATTTTGTACTTTTTTCAGGGTGACAAGAAAGAAGTCATCAAAGCAGTCACGATTGATACCACCCGGGTAAGATTTCCTCGTTAATGAACATGTCTTTTTTTTTTTCGCTCTGCCTGAAATAACGAGGAGAAGGCATGAATAAAAGATTTCGAGCTATAGATCAGGTTGATGTTTATTTTCTTTGTTTTGTTCACCAAAGTTAAACACATCCAGAAGTATTTCTATGTTTCATGCTTAATTTGAATGTGAAGCGTTGTGCAAATTGCAAACCGACAAAGCAAGAACATTTCCGGGAGGTGTCGTATTTGGCAAATGTTTGTTACAGTAGTTGAAAGTTTCCGTTTCTTATTGTCCAATCAGAAAATAGCTTGAACATTTACGAGTACTTACGAGCACTAACGATGGCTGGTGACTTAAGAGACGTCATGTTGCGTAGCAACGTCGGAAACGAAGACCACCAGTGTACACCTTATGATGTCATCAACCAGCACTTTTAAATTATGAGACTCTTACAGTTCAGTGATGCCATCCTTCTCCGTCGATATTGAAACCTGTAGTGTGATGATTCATTAATTGGGAGACAGTCAGCTTATTCAATTAGTTGTGTGTGTTGATATGGCGAATTGATCAGGTTGTTTTGTTGGTCCAATTTTCAGCATGTTCTCTACTTGGGTTCAAATACAGCGCTTACAAAGCTGAGTTTAGAACAATGCAGTAGTTACGATCGTCACAGGTGGGTTGGAGTTTCAGTAAGTGAGCAAGCCAGTGAGTTAGGTGAAGTCTACAGAGTAAAATAGAACTAAACCACCGTGACGTCACGAATCTGGAAAGCAGACAAAACTATACTATACATGTAAATCTAAGTAATCATTTTTGTCTTGTCCATAAAATATATTGACTGGTTTATAGAGAGTGGTTTTTATTCATTATGTTAACTATGAAGTAAAAACATTCCTTTGTTTGATTTCAGTTCTTGTACATCTGCGGCTGATCCTTACTGCGCATGGGACGATGAAACAAACCGCTGTGTTTCAATTCTTTCTCATGGGTCAGTGTTGTAATTAGCTTATTATTGAGGATGTCTCAAATGAAAGAGCGTGTGTTCCTAGATAGGTTACATTTTAGACGTAGAATTATTTGAATGTTTGTATCACGCTAATTAGCTGACTAAATAAACTGTCATACTTTCTGATTGTTTAATATGGTACAATTTATAGTCAGGACAAGAAATACATGTAACATGGATGATGTTTACGTCTGTGATAGATAGCCTCGTCATCCGATTACAACACTCGCACATTCTAGAACTCCCAATACTTTTGCGAACAAAATAAAGTTAAAACAAGTGTTTCTTGTTTCAATTTCAGAGACCTAAGCAAACTGAGACAAGACTTGAGTACTTGCCCGAAGATGGCAGGTGAGTTGTTTCAGATGTGATGCTTTTCAGCTTATTGTAGCTTGTGAAAATGTTATGAACCATTCTCGTCCTCAAAGGCCGCGCTCCTTATGGTCAGCACCAAGAATCGCGACCTCTGGGAAGGTCCAACACAGGAAGTCCGCGATTCACGGACTTCCCGTCACTCTACGCATGCTCAGAGTCAAGTTTGACAAATCTGATTGGCTGAGAGTACGAAACGAATTCTCTGCGTATGTTCAGAAAATCGGACCCGCCCAGAGGATTCTTGGTGCTGACCAAAAGGAGCGCGGCCTCTGGGGACGAGAATGGTTATGAACCAATGAGGCCCCGTCCACACTTCGCCGGAGGAATTTGAAAATGGAGATTTACTCTGAATACGCATCAAATGTTTTCCGTCCACACTAAGCCGGAGAAATTTGAAAACGCAACAGTCACTGGTCATATTGGATTTGTGTTTGAGGAAAACTCGGACAGGGAAATCACATGATTATCGTGACGACATCGTTTTCGAAAAGCTCAGTTTTCAAAATGGTTACCGTCCACACTAAAACGCAAAGTAGGCGTTTTAAAATTCCTCCAGTTTGAAGACAGTTTTCTAAGAGCTCCGTTATCGTGACGGAATAGTGTGGACGGTAGACCTAACCTTGGAAATAAAGCTGCGTTTACTTTTCAAATCTCTCCAGCTCAGTGTGAACGGAGTCTAAGTCAGTCGGTGAGGCAATTAACTTGAAGGTTGTGAAGGTTAAGGCCCACACTAGGCTTGGGCACTTTGAACATGCAGCTTTACTTCTACGGTTAGGCCTACCGTCCACACATCCGTCACGAAAACGAAGCTTTTCGAAAACACTCTTCAAACCGGAGCAATTTGAAAAGCCGGCTTTTCGTTTTCGTGTGGACGTAAAACATTTTAAAATTGGAGCTTTTTGATATTGATGACGTGACGATAATCGTGATTTCCGTGACCAAGTTTTCCTCAAACCAAGAGAAAATGCACAAATCCAGCATGACCGGTTATTGCTGCGGTTTTTAAATTCCTCTGTTGTGGCGTAACCGCTGGAAAACATTGGAAACGTTTTCAGACTGAAACCTCCGTTTTCAAATTCCTCCGCTGTAGTGTGGACAATTATCAGTTATTGTGGTGTAATATGTTGGAATCCCTAATTCCTAAGCACTGGATTAAAAAAGTAACTTAATCCTGTCCTATTTTACTCTCTTAAAGCGTAGCCGTATTATTTTTTCCACTTGATATTTTTTTCTCTCTGAGTATGAAATTTATTTTATTTAGATGAAGACGTTGAGTGGTCTCCCTGGAAAACCTGCATCCAGAGTGATGGTAATCTATGCCGTTGTCAAGTGCGGCCATGTCAGAACAAACAAAACAGTTCCTGTGAGGGTGGATATGAGTTCCGACTTGAAAACTGTACAGGTGAGCAAGTATTCTGTGGGGGAGGGGTGGAGCTCCCAGAAAAAATGGGTAGGTGTGTGCGGTTTACGTACCCTAGTTATGACCTGATAAAATATTTGATACCCTATTTATGACCGTTGCGGCTGACACAGTTGCCCTAAACATAATTTATGAAAGGCTTTTGTTGATGGTCTTATCGATAATGATGAAAAAGTAACTTCTTCTAAAAAAACATACCCAATTTAAGACTAGAGTACAAAAACCATACCCCATTCATGACCAAAATCGATACCCTATTTATGACCAAAACGGCTGAAAAACCATACCCTTTTGGGGCCACACATACCTATATAACCCATATAAGGGAGTACCCCCCCCCCCGGGACTCTGCCTCTCGTCTCTCAAAAGTTATAGATTGTCATCAAGTACTTAATGTAGGAGTTGTGTTTGCTTAGCATCGTTGGTAGGAAAAAATTCCGGGCTCAGTTTGATTGTGAGAAGATCCGATTCTCTATCTCATCAGGTGCGTGCTTAGAATTTGTTCTGGCAAGTGTTGTAGCCATGATCTCTTTTTCACTCGCATTTGAATAACGTGCTTCACAAAAATTTCGAGAATCCGGTACCAGGATTGATCGTAATAAAATTGAATAAAGCGTTGTATGGTAAAAATTATTAAAAATATGAGCTTTCAACAACCAGTCTACTGTCTGCGACGGATAATAATTTGTATCCGTCGAATTGAAATCTCATATTTTTAATAATTTGTGCCAAAGAACGCTTTATTCAATTTCAACATGTGTTTCCTTGCTTTTGCAGTGGATGTGAGTGTAGGGTGGGAGGGCAAAGAAGCATGGGAATTGTTTGGAGTACAGCATGGTAACTGGAGTGTGTGGGAAACTTGGACCGAGTGTTCAGCGGAGGCATGGGCCGGAGTGAGACATCGGACACGAACATGTACGAACCCAGTCCCCAGGAGGGGAGGTAGACCATGTGTGGGGCAGTCAGTGCAGTATGAGCCCTGCAGTTTAGGATTAGAAGGTGAGGACTTACCAACTGTAAGATATGTCTGGTGATGAACCCTCACCAATATAATCCTATCAGAAAATAAGAAAGTGTAGGTAATCGTATGAAAGCGTGAGCGATTACCTGTGATATTTGAAAATTCTCTGAAAATTGCACAAGCCTTTATCACTTATTTATTTTAGGAACTATTACGAATAATGAATACGAATAATGGAATATGCGCGCATTAATTTGCACTGCAAGGCAAATTAAAACTCAACGATTATTTGGCCTGCTCTCAGCCAATCACAGTGAAGTAATTTTCTCAGACATAAAATAAGCCTCCAAACCTCAGCCAAAAAATATCTTGCTGATTGTGGGGCGTTATCTTTAAAGAGCACGTGCTTTCGATCATAAAGCAACTACCGCAGCGTTTGGTGTGCATTTGATGTTGTTACAGTGTGCTCAGAAAATTAACGAATGACTGTTTGTGAACACTGACGGCAACGACAACAACAACAGCAACAACAACAACAACAACAACAACAATAGCTTTTACGCAAAGCTCTTTCATAAGTTGCTCACTATATATATTTTTTCCTTTTGTTTATTTTTGTTTATCAGTGAAGGAAAAACGCGTGTCGACAAATCCAACAAGAGTTTTGAACCCAAAAGTGAACATGGCCGTGCAGTTCAATGTGGCGTGTGAAGCCACGGGACATAAAATAACTGACATACGTGTGCAGATATCAAACAAGACCATTGATTGTGAGAGAGAACCCAAACTCTGCGGAGGTAAGAACCTGGGCACGAACTTGCAGATTCATTTTATAATTGTTCTTTAGTAGGAATTAGACACTAAGGCACCGCCCACACTACTCCGGTGGAATTTGAAAACAGGTTTCACGCTGAAAACGCATCAAATGTTTTCCGTCCACTCTACGCTGGAGGAATTTAAAACGCAACAATCACTGGTCATTTTGGATTTGTGTTTGAGGAAATCTCGGGCTGGGAAATCACATCATTCTCGTGACGCCTTTTTTTTTCGAAAAGACTCGCTTTTCAAATGTTTTCCGTGCACCCGAAAATGAAAAGCCAGCGTTTTCAAATTCCTCCGGTTTGAAGAACGTTTTCGAAAAGCTCCGTTGTGGTGACGGATTAGTGTGGATGGTAGTCCTAACCGTAGAAATAAAGCTACGTTTTCAAATTTCTCCGCCGTAGTGTGGACGTCATCTAAATGCATTGACTTCTTTTTTGTGGTGTGTATATTGTATAATCATTACAAAAAAGGTTATATGGCCTGCAAAGCTTTATTACTTTCAGACACTTTCGGGTAGTGGTAGTTTAGTCAGTAACAGAAATGCCAGAACAGTATCTGTTCAGTTACTCATTAAATAACTCATATGTTGTAGTTTGGGAAATTTATAATTGATTCAAGCTCGTCAATTAACTTTTTTTGTTGTCGAGACAAACGTGAAATGCAGACACATTTTGTCTAATTGTCTTCTTGCAACCATTTGTTGCGGTTACAACCTGTAATGTCATGTAAAGAACTTTGATGTCCTTTCGAGTTTGAGTTAGGTTCAGTTCCCCTAAAATCAAAGCGGACTCTGCTTTGAGATTATCGACAAACTACAGGGTGAGTGTGTTAGTGAGTTGAGACTGAGATTGTGGACGAAAATTAAATCTCTGTTGAAATAGTTAATTTTGAGATATGTTGCTCTTGTTTTAGATGGTGAGTGGGACAGGTGGAGCGATTGGGGTCAGTGTACTGTGGAGGGATTTCAGATTAGAAGAAGGGAATGTAAAACAGAGCCTTGTGTCGGGGAAAGGGTGCAAGAAAAAAAATGCCAACCGACGATATCTGAGAACTGCAAAGGTTTGTTTTGTAGTACATCGTTTTGTCTTTAGCCTGTTCCAGGCTCTCGGTCAAAAAGCGCGTCGGTGGGCGACGAGCGGGGTCTGGGAGAAAAGAAAGGAGAGGGCGCCCGTCCGTTGACCGAGAGTCTGGAACAGACTATTTGTCATAATCTTGAATGATACGCAGCTAAAAAGTGATATCAGGGTTGGCAGAGGTCAGGAAATGGTCAGGGAAAAAAAAAATTCTCTTTAAGGGTCAGGGAATTTTATTTTGAGTCCCGGAAAATTGATATTTTGAAGAAAAGTCAGGGAAAATTGAATTAATTTAACACGGCTGATTTAATACCATTGAAGGCTGAGGAAACATTTAGGTTCACTGTGATGTCAACGACATTTTTCCTTAATGAAGAAGGAAAATTTGTTGAAAATTGATCAGCCATAATGAAAGAGTAGAAAGGACGGCTCTTAGTTGAGGCCAGAAGCCGCTACTAGATCTGACATTTTGTATTTATTTGGTCAGGGAAATCTTATTTTTATCAGGGAAAAGTCAGGGAATTTTGAAAAGTGATGCCTATGGCAACCATGGATAATGAATAAAAATGTTCGACTGCCAGTGTATCAGTGTACTTAAAACATTTGCATTAACACCTCAAATGAAAGAAACATTTTGGTTATCACACCACTGAACGAACAATCACTTAACAGCACGCTTGGTTGGTGTTTTATTAGGTGACGGGGATGAGAGCTTGGAAGACTGGGCTGAATGGTCTGCTTGCGAGTGCAAGCACAAACTTGAGCTACCTGAGGGGAGTGGTGTAAGGTCTCGGATTCCCAAGTGCCGCAGGGATTGTCCCACTGTATCATCTTGTCCCGATACTGTTCAGTATGAAACTTGCATTTGTAATTCTGGTAAGTTGAATGGCTAAAGTGTTGCTAAAGCGTTACGTCACGTATTGCTTCTTTTTGACAGAAAGAAGCCTTCTGTGACGGAACAATAGACGAAAGGCTAAGACTGAATTGAATTATCACAGACAAGAAATGCACGGTCAAGATTTTGTGTCATAGTAAAAGCAATAACGAATTTCTGCTAGTATCAAGCGCTATCTTGAACTTGGTGTTAACGAGATAATTCGAATCAAATTATAATAGCAGACAAGCATTTAGCGCTCTTCAAATTGAAACGGCTTTGAAAACAGCCGAGAAACCAGTTGGCTGTTGAGTGTTGTTTCTGATTTCGCTACTGCTAGTTGGACACATCGCAAACATGGCACGGATAGCATTCTTTTACATCTGAATCTGATGTGATGTCAAGTTCAAGTCCGCGATTCACTCTCCTGGCAAAAGATCTCTGACCAAATTTCAGGGAAAAGATTTGACGTGGTTTCCTGAAAAATAAATTGCAAAACTGATAATGCAGGTGTATGCCTTCCAAAATGTACTCATACCTCAGAATCTTTGCCCAGTTGTCGTCAGCAGTCGGACTGGAAATATTTCAGAGATTAAATTTTCAGGACAATTATTTATCGTCCTATTTCGATGTTAACACTAAGTGTCGCTCGTGTTTGTAATGCACCTGTGTCTGTGAACCTGGATGTGGTTTAGAGGTATGCTTTCAGATTGAAAGTGTCTTTAAGCGAAGGGCAAGTCAAATTCTGTTTCATTTCGTTTTCAGCAGTGGAAATGCAACGTGGACCAGAAACCAATGAGGGATCAAACCTGCAAATAGGTCACGTGATCGGAGCGGCGGTAGCTGGCTGTGTGCTTACCATCATTCTATTTCTTGGGGCATTTTGTTACATCAAGAATCGAAATAAAAAGTTCGATGTTTCCAAAGCCGAAGAAACCAGCCTTCACAACACCTCTAGCGAAAGTAAATACTCGACGATTGCTAGAGGGAACGGTGTTCCGAACAGAGGCCCGCTTTCCACATCCAGCAGCCACAGTACAGCAAGTAAGGACAGTGTTAAGAACACGAGTAGAAAGACGTCATCACCTCTAAAGATGCTTCGAGTATTCCGGAAACATCATAGCTCCGCGGAAGCAGTATAGTACCTAGGAGGGGTGGGGAGGGGGTGAGGGTGGCGTGTTACTAGGCTTGGTACTAGGCGTGTTACGTGCTGGCTTGTTATAAATCTTCCAGCAGAGTTTCCTAAGGGTATCGCTGTAGACAAGCCATAAAGTCAATAGTCCTCCGAAAGGCTTCAATCCGAGGTCGCTGCATAACCCAACCATCAGCGCAGTATCTCACTGCAAAATGTTAAAAAGATTTGAAGATAACGAAGCAGATTAAGAGGCCTTGAGGACGCATGTTCAGTAAGCTACGAATCGACGTTAATGTAAATATGCTTTAGAGTTGTAAATACTACAGTGTTCATGAGTATTTTGTTAACGTTTGTTGGAGGTACTTCCGGATCGTAATTATGCTGAAGAACACCTCTCGCTTTTGGGAGAAAGAGAAAATACCAGATTTGCTACAAGTTGTCGCGCAAGCTGTTACACTTTTGAGGATCGACGTCACGGGATTTGTTTTGCATTTTTGGTTGAAATAACTTCGCTGAAGATCAGAGATATTCTTGTGCAGTAAACTGTAACTGCGCAATACCAGGCCTCCCACAGGTCATTACGCTTGCATGTTACAGTTCTGTGGCTCCAAGTCACGAAACGTGGCACGCAACATGTTGGGTAATGTTGGGTTATTCTTCGTGGAAGATACATCTCTCAATTTTGAGGACTTCAGTCATCTTTCGTTACTTCTTCCAAGTTTGTTTGTCTTTCAAGTACCTCCTACAGGGGTTAACAAGTTGCACGAAGATAATCTGGTCATTCGTGACTTTGCATCTAACTCGTTGTATTAACTGCGTTTTTAGAGGGACTATATACATATTTATTCAACTATTTATTATGTAGATAGAGGTGTTAGGTTTGTTTTAAGGAGAAAGTAGAATTTTCTCTGTTAATTTCGCCATATGTAGTTGTATATATGACGGTAAATTGGTTATATTTTATAAAGTAAGTCATAAACTGAATAAGGTCTGAAAACACCGGCAACACTCTAGGTCGTTATCCGTTATTTCCTCACGTGACCAGCTCACCCTCAGAACAAAATTAACAGGATCGGAGATTAACAAGAATGGAAAAATCAAGTTTCATCATCATCTTTGTAAGGTCACTAAGAACCGGTTAGGCATCACACCAACCACTTACAAAATCTTAGTGGTATAGAGGTTTTAATATCCCCTCCAAAAAATGTGTTCAAATATCCTAAAATCTGACATGACCTCAGCTGGCTTAAAAATCTTTGTTTTAGCTAATTTACTGATGCTATTTCTTTAGTCTTTCTGCTGTGTTTGCCGAAACAGTAACATGTAAGTTACGATGGATCAACAGAGCTACCTGTTGAGATATTTGTGTAAACTTCTTAACAGTTAACCGTTCTGCAATATTTCCATGTACATTGTCTGTAGATAGCGTAAAGCATGGAGCAGGTCACGTGACGAATTGATGCAAAACGCATCCAACGTAAGTTAACATATTGTTAATTGTTTATTTCTTGTATAGGGGACAAAATATCAAGGACAAGATGATTTTGTATTGGTTTTGATTAAGTTATAGCATTTTATTTTTATAGAAAAACATTGACACGGGGCACGAGGCACGGTCATCTAATTTATATAATGATTTCGAGGCTCAAAAAAGTTCCGAGTCAATACGAAACACTAAAAATTGGTCTTATTTTGTAGAAAAGCACTCGAGATTTAACCTAAATACAATGAGAAATATGTATGACTAGAAATGGCCATTATTATATTATGTAAAGCTTGGAAAACGTTCTGCTCATTCAGGACGCATCACTCGGTTGCATTTAAAAGTTGCTAGTAAACTTTCTTTGAAATGTTGATTTAATCGTTTTCTGTTATTTAATAAGCGTTTATACAATTTTTTTAGAATAAATTAAACATTGCCTGCGTTATTACATTTTTGGATGACATTGCTCCTCGACAGATGTTTTTTTTTGTTTTCATAATTAATTATGCTATTCGTTACGGTATGGAGTCAAAATGCATATATACGTTACTTAGTAATTCTCGTTTGGTTATTGTTTCTCTGTTACTGTAGTCTAGATTGCGTTCTGCAACAGTCTTTTTCGGAGCCGTTATTTAGGTGATCACTGAGAAACGTTACATGATGACCTAATTCCAGGGAGGAACTGCCATATGATAGGGTCGGAGATGCTCGTCAGAAAATTTGAATTAAAACCGCTAAAGGAGACACGAGCTATATTTCACCCCCAAAAGATACCACGTAAAACGGAGGTAGGCCCGAGTAACAGCCACTGTTCAGGAAAGGAAGCCGCGCGAGTAGACCTGAAGTGAGACGAGAATCCTTGATTTCTACCCCTAAGCGAGACGAAGAGCATCCCCGACCTTTTCATGGGGGAGTCCCCCCCGGCGCCTAAATAAGGGACTAGTTCTGTATGACTGTTTTAATTTACCCTGAATTGTTTTCAATAAAAGCCGCTGAATGAATTTGCCTTTTTTACTCGACAAACCTGTAAAACAAGTAGGGGACACATTTTATTCGGGTACTTGTTTTGACACTGGCCACGATTATTGATTGACATGGGAGGAAGAAGGTGGGGGTGAAGGGGGGGGCTGGTCGTTTAACAGAAAAGGAACACTTCAGGACGTTCGCGCTAATTGTTTCTGCGCATCCTTACTGCGCACGTAAATTCACGCCACGTCATGCATCGATGCGCGCGCTAAGTAATAAAATGAACAATGATGGGGCAGATGGCCATTGGACGCTCGGTGAAGGATCATTTTCTCTAATTAACGATTTTCTACGTTTAGCAAAAAAATGAAGAAAATCTATCGATTATAATAAGAGGTTCGAATTTTTTGCAAAATGCACCATCGAATTCCGTCCTTTTTAGCTCTTCGTTTATCTGTGCGGTGGTTTCAAATGCCTCTTGAAGGGTTAAGTTTTGTGAAAACGCTGGCAACATTTGGAATTATTTACGCTACAGACCCACTTCTACAAAATATGACTAAGATCGTTTGCCTCCGTTGACTCACCTTCGATATTTTTAACTATAAACCCCTGTAGACCATGCTGAATTACGTGCACCAATTTTTCAAAAAATCAGGGTAGTTTTCCACACGCTTTATCTCTGAAACGAAGTCGGTGACCCCAATTGTTTTTGCATTTCTGACACAAGCAACCCATTATCTGACTGCAGGAAAAATTTAACAAAATCTATCGACTGGAAAATTTTCGCGCGAACGTCCTTGAAGTAACTGTGCCGTTTTTAGAAATGAGAATGGTCCACTACCCGTTTGAACTCAAGCTCTAGTGACGGCCCTGATCTTTTTCCAGGTCAACTTTAAATTCTATGCTTAATATACGGATTTATTTTCAAAGAGTTTTGATGACCTTTTTTAAGAAACGTTCTTTGTTTTCTTTTCCACGAGTTACTTCGTGAGCTTAAAGAGGAGGTACGTGTTTCAATACTTATTAAAGGAGCTCAGTCACGGTTTGCGCATATTGAAAAGTTTAGTCTCAATTTTTCAAATTCGTCGTTTGTATTCCATGTCAATCTTCTCCATCCTTAGCCATCCTTTTTCCTTTATGGTTTATCATTATCTCTTTGGTGTTTTTCTATCTTATTAAACCATTATTTTCTGGTTTCATAATTTCATATGTGGCCAACATAACTCAAAATACCTTGACTGAGTCTCTTTAAGCTTACTTTCGGACAATCTCCTCCCTAGAACCCGTTATGGTAGTCGTTACCACTAGGAACTCGAAGGTCCGTGATTCTCGGGATTTCGATCATCTCAGGTTAAAGCTGATTGGTTGACAACATGTTCGTTAGCACTTTGCGCTTGCTTATAGATCACTCTCGACCAGAGTCACTGCTTACCGAAAGTGAAGCGGGCTCTGAGGACAAATTCGGACTGAAAATAACCCTTGATAACTCGTAACATACTACGTAATAGAAAAGTTGGAGTGTGCGACTCAAGGAGACGGTGACGCCCTTAGATTTTTTTCACGTTTTACTAGGTACAAGTAGGGAGCACCGTCTTCTGATTGCGAGAGATGGGTTTGGCTGTAAGCTCTGAAATTCTTTCCTCCATTGATTATCATGTTTTTTAACAGGTTAGATTTCCAGCTGTTTTGCGAGCACCTCGTTGGTTCTTTGGGAAGAGGATGAAACCGAGGTTCGATTCCGCCGCTCTGGTCTGCATGTACGTTGAAGGAGCGCGGGCTCCTTTCCTGATCAGCGGTAGTAATCAAGCCCAGATGACACCCGTACTCACAAAACGGCTGGAAAACGAGCCTTGTCCTTGAAGGGCCTAGTATAATTTAAAAGAGCATTTTAGAAATTCACTTCCACGTTGGGGACTCATAATAAACGAACTCTACCTTACAGCTTTTAAACCAATGTCAGATTCTCTAATTCACTCTCTGGAAGTCGTCAACTCTTACGGAGGGACGATACGAAGTTATTTATTCTACCTTAGTATTGTTTTATTATCAATGTCTTTATATTTGATATACACTGTGGCTGACTGAGCTTTCGGTCTAAAACGTTGAAAGGTGAGATGCAGAATGAATAGATTTAGAGCCAGGTTTCTGATCATGGAGAAACTCGTAGGAATGTTCTGCCTAATGCCTAAAATCCTTCTGCTAGCATACTTAACGTTATGAAATACAGGGTTTATAATCAGAAGAAATTGATATGCTGGAAAGTTGTACATCAGTTATTGATTCAAGCTATTGCTAGAGGTTCGACCCCTGTTGGGGGAGAATTTTTTATGCAGCTCGTTTCACAAACGTTTCTATTAAGTTGAACATATACTATCATTTATTTTCAACGTTCCCTTCGACATAAACATGTTGGTCCAATGTAACAGATGACACCAGACAGTATCTTTATGACTAATTTCCCTTCATCCTCCATTTTTTCTCTGATTACGGTTTTTTCTCCATACAAAAAATGTCCCTAGATTGTACTCTATTTATCGCGATGAATGATATACGTAAATTGATCCAAATTTGGGATTCTTTGTCGTGATTTTGACGATTTTCTTGAGTCAGGTCTGTATAAGGTCCCTATAATGTTATCGTCTCTGGTGCAAATGAGCCTTCATTTCTTGAATGCGGTTGGCCAGCGGACGATTTGAAGAGGCACATTTCCCGAGAACTAGATCCAGACCCTCCTCGCTCTTCTGAGCAAAAGCTGTTTCTGCTGCGTCTTCGAATTTCCTGCGAATTAAAATATTGAGAATTATGAAACAGTGTAACAACCAGGAAACTGCAGAGTTCGTAGAAAAATTGTTAATCTTTTTATCATTCGGCGCTATTTAACAATTAGATTATGAGCTCGAGATTTCTATCGCGTGATAGTTGACGAGGGCGCAGCCCGAGTCAACTATCACGCATAGAAATCGAGAGCAAATAATCTAATTGTTTTGGAAGAAATCTACTAGTCGTTCAAAACTTTGTCTAAATCCTCTTCACGACACTTAGAAAAAGCAAAGAAGCAGCTGCCCTTTTTGCTACCGACCACACTTCCAGGCTACTCACTCTCTACTTAACAATTAAATTATGAGCTCGAGATTTCTATGAGGTGATAGTTGATGAGGGCGAAGGCCGAATCAATTATCACCTCATAGAAATCGAGAGCGAATAATCTAATTGTTTTAGTAGAATTCTTACTAAAATTAACTTCGAATAACGTTTCCAATTATTTCTTGACGTATTGCTAAACTTTGCGCCTGAAAAATGTCCCTCGGATTGAATTGTCATTTAAAATTGAAGTTGTGTGCGCGCGCATCAGTTTTTTCAATAATTTCAACTCTTTTAAATGTCAAGAAACCGTAAATGTCCCTCACTTTGACTTCTCAGGAATTTAGTTATCCATTTGCATCAAATATTTCATTCAAAACTTTTGAAAAATGAAAAAAACGTCGCCATTTCCTAGACGACCTCCAGCCACTGCACACTAATGGCTGATAGTGTACGAGTAGCTCAGCCAATCAGATTGCAGCATTTGTATTAGTATACTAGTAGAATTCTACTAAAACAGAATAGATAGTGAGTAGCGTAGCCAATCAGAGAACGGCATTCGTGATAGAACGCACTTCATGTATTACCCGCGAAATACACGTCTGAAATGGATCTTGGCGCGCAAGAACTTTCAATCACAGATACTACACGGACCTCTGTTGAGCTGGTCATCAGTACGGAATTTTTCAACCCGAATCTTAGAAGTCGCTCTCTCAAGTGACGCAAATGGGTAAGCTTAAAATGTCTGTCTGAGCTCACAACTTTTGTCTTACAGCCACATCAACATTCAGCCTGGCAGCTCCAAGACGGAACACAACGCTGTTAATGACGTTATAGATCAAATAAGCTGTTGGAAGGAGAAGGGAATAACACAAAAAGACTCTCACCCAAGCTTGACAAAGCACGCCACTTTGTTCTCTGGCAGGACTCGTGGAACATATTTCTCTGCTTCTATTCTATTGTTGAATTCCAAGCAGGCTTCAAAAAATGGCTAAATGAAACAAGACCTCAATGTTAAAAGATCATTTTGACATTTTCCTTGAACTGTCCTTACTATGTGGTTAAGACTTCTTACAATCTCTGCTGCGATAGATTCGTTTGTTCTTTACAGTGTAGTTTTCTTTGACAAGACACTTGACTCTGGTTCACTCTCACAGTACCTCTTTCCATCCAGGAGAGAAAACTGTTAGAGAACATGACAAAATGTTGGTGTTTAAAGGGATAAGAGATCGTCGCAGTCAGGTACGAAACTTCGGCAGTTGAGAAAGTAAAGTGTGACAAACATTAGACTCAAACTAGATTCGAACCCATGACCTCTGCGACTACCTTTATGCCTACCAACTGAGCTATCAAATCAACCAGGAGCTGGATTACGTAAGGGACGACCTTCCTCCCCACCCGAACCTCCCAAAAAATAGAGAAAATTGTTTTTAAATCAAAGTTAAAAAATTACTTTTTTAAACTAGCATGCCATAGTCTTATAATATGTTTGCTAAATTGTATTATTCTTAGACACATTTTTCTTATATTTTTACTGTAATCTTAATCTTATATTGTAAAGTACTTTAGAATATTTTATAATTTTAGCGCTATATAAATCTATTATTATTATTGTTATTATAATTATTATTAACATCATCATCGTCATTATTATTGTTATATTATAAAAAGAAATATAGGGTATAAGGAGGTGATGAATCTCTGACCAGAATGGAGTCATCGGTTCATTATCATTATCACTATCACTATCACTATCACTATCACTATAACTATCGCTATCACTATCATTATTATTATTATTATTATTATTATTATCATTATCATCATCATCATCATCATCATCATCATAAAACATTTGTGAGTGATGTTATTATATGGTGAAACTGAAAGAAAAATTCACCTCATATCCTATTAACGACTTGCGCGCTTTGGAAAATCTGTCAAGTTCCAACCAGTTGCGACTTTCAGCCAGAGACCGGACTTTCAACCAATAGAACCTGACAAGAAAAAAACACAACACCATTAAATGCCGAACAGTGAGCCCGGGTTTATGACCTGGAATGCTCATGGGGCTGCTCAGCAGAATCCATTTTCTACTGGTCAAAGAACCGCGTACAAGTTGAAGCTCGTGAAGATTGAGTAAAATACACCAGTTGTCAGTTTAAAATTGTGAAAGTTCTCTTATCGCTGGTATGTGTGGTTTTTCCGTCGCGGTGGAAGCAAGCTAAACTACGGGGAGGTTTGTCATCCAACAGAAATTATGAGATAAATTACAAGTGCATTTTATGGGTACGTTCCTTTGGGGTGATCTGGATCAGGATCAGTGATCCAAGATCACTCGGATCATAGTTCATCAAAGGAGCCGATGAATCCGTGACCAGAGTGGATTCATCGGTTCCTTTGATGCACCATGATCCAGACAGCTCTTGGATCACTGATCCTGATCCAGATCACCCCAAAGGAACGCACCCAATATATCATTGACAAATGAGTCCAAAATCTGGTTAATTCAAATTAATGTTAAGGGATTAGTTAAAGTTTTTTTCTCAGTCCTATGAAGCTTGATATTCTTTATACGGTTGACATTTTTGTTCTCTCCTTGTGTAGTATTGATCCTCCTCCTACAAACCGGCCTGTCTCTGGCCGCAGCCTGTCTCCCTCAGTGTCTTAAATCTGAGATGTTCCCTCTCGTTATGATTCTCCACCAAGTCTCTCCCGGTCGTCCCTCTCTGTGTTTGCCTGCGGGTGCCCGTGTTAGTGTAACCTTGAGATTTTTGTTCGATTACCAACCATATCATGCCCAGCCGTATGTAACTTGTTAATCACTTGTCTTCGTACCTGATGATCTTTCTCTCATTTCTTCATCACTGACCTTCCTCGGCCGGTAAACGTCCAAAATTTTTCCTTTAGCATTTACGCTGGAAGACGTTTAGCCTGTATTCATCCTCTTTGGTCATCCTCAACGTGTCGCAACAACAGAATAGAACGGCAACTACATGGGTTTTTGAAAATGTTAAAAGCCGCTCTCGAAGCCCTGGCAGTATAACCCGGTCTCCAAGAGTGCAGGATATCGCTGAACAAATCACCCAGACTTGTGAAACATCGGTTAAATTACGGAAACCAGAGACGTCTTTCCTCCCAGAAATTAACCATGCCCCGAAAGAAAGAGACTGCTGGCTGGGGTCGGATGAGTGGTTACTATGGGAACGTTACGTTAGTGGTGAAGCTACTGACCTTTTGTCTGGAACTTTAAACTCTTTCTTCAGTTGTTCAGCCACTTTTTGATCATCCAGAAGTACGCACTACAAAGAGATGATAAATTTTTCAGAAAACTCCATTAATGCTTCAGCTACAGTAACGTAAACTCTCACCGAGAGCCTCTCGTGAAGATAATGTTTTCATGTTTCATGGCTGCAAAATCCTTGCCCGGTTGCTTCATGTTTTGTCGCAACCTTTCTGACAACATTGTTTACATTTTTCCTTATTAGCAAACGTCTTAAACACCATGTGCTTAATTTTTTTGGGATAATGAATCTTGCCATGCCCTCCAGATATTTAAAGCTGATATTGGACCTGCAGCGCTTATGCTAATGAGGTAAATATTGTAAACAGGAACTCCCTTATAGCCGTTCTACAGACCCCTCCAGAACAGCTCCCATGTACAAAAAACACCAGGTACAGCGACACATTGCATAGGAAATACCCTTAAAGATAGACCCCTTATAACGTCCTTCCATTTAAGCCCCCTATAGATAGTCACGTTGTCCCTTATAAGTGGATCCTCTATAGTGTCCCAGTAGATAAACCGCAACTACAACCTTGCGTACGGCTGGCGCGCCCGCAATTTGAATTGACCAATCAGGACTCAGCAGGCAGAAAAACTTTACTGTCCTGACGTTATGCACCTATCAATGTCAAGCCCGAGGGGGAAGGGGTCGGGCATAGGGTGGGGATTTTGACATTTTCTAAAGAAATCTATCAAAATCCCCACCCATGGGCAAAAAATAATTGTCAAAAGTATCGAAATCCCCCACCCCGGGGCAAGGGAAGGCGGTCATATACCCTTCAATACCTTTCAGTCCTTGTTGCACACATGAGGAAAGCTATAAATAACGTACCAAAGACTCAATAAACATTTCTACAGAACATTAACAAATGGTTTACTTCTTTTCTGCGGCTCATTTCCAGACTCTCCCATTATCCAAGAGGGCGACAATGCCAAAATTCCCCACCCTGAGGACATGATGTCCGACAAAAATCCCTACCCAGGGGATATACGTCACAGTCAAATTCCCGTGGGTTGCCCGACTCCCCCATCGGGCTTGACATTGATAGGTGCATTAAGGTAAGTTAACGTGAAAGGCATTGAAATCAGCTTTTCTCACTGGAGATGGCATAAAATATTCACGAAAAGGGATTTGCAATTCCCAAAACCATATCAGACTGTAAAAATTGAAAAATATGAAACATTTTGTGTCTCCAAGCTTCCAATTTGGCGCCAAAATGGGTCGCCGGCGTCCGGCATAGCAACTCGCACATAGTTCGTCGAGTGTCGCCAGGTAGGGTAATAGTTGTGTTATTTTGAACAACATGTGCTGTTCCTCGTCAAATGAAACCCGGAATTCCCAAGTTATTAGAAGAGGGCAAAGTAACTTTAGCATTGTCTTTGTTTTTGTTAGCTGCGAAGAAAAAGGCTATTATCGTGTCGTTTCGGTAGGACAGCTAAGTTTTGACTGTCACTCGTACTGCGGGCGCAGCCGCCGTATGCAAGGAAAGTTCCACCGTGCATAGTGCCACTATATTAAGCCGTTAAATGCATGGTACTTAATGCTCTTTATACCTGATAAATGGTGTCGCTTAATGACAGATCCATAAATGATTTCCTGTACTTCTCCTCTAGCTTCACCTGATATTCCATTAGTTTGATCTGCTCCTCTGTTGCCTGTGATTCGTGACAGAGAAAGCGTGACGGGATTGCAAGATGAGTAACACATTCATTTTGTACTCTATTGATACGTTTTCTTCGCGGCGTTATTAAAGACGCGAAGAAGTTGTGTTTACCTTAGCGTAAAAAGTGAAATTTCCTTGTTGGTAAGACATCTGTGCTTTAGACAATGTTTTCATCTTGGACTCTAGCGTCTAATAAAAAGAACAAAAGAGTGTTAAAATTGAAGACTGGTGCCGTCAAACGAGAGAAGAAAACTTAACAAATGACACTAGGGAGGAACCCGGAATCCTATTTAAGTTGGGGGGAGGGGTAGGGTTAGGGTTAAGAAGTAGAGGAACTTGGCCTGTAAAATTACGCTTTACAGAGGAATACTAGCTACAACAAAAAGAGCTGCACTGATTCCAGTTACTAGAATAATCTATTAGGGTTTCTCTTTCAAGCTGATGAGCAAACTGTTACACTTCAAAAGAGCAACACAAATTCTGGAGATGAATAAAGAATGTTTGGAATCGAGTCTCGAGAGCAATTGTGGTTTTACTTTATTGCCCAGCAACTTAACCAATCAGAAGCAAAACAGAACCCAACCGCGACTTGTTTACACGCACAATGAGTCAATACTCACAGAATGAGCCATTTTGTCGCCCAATTCTGTCTGTAAGCATACGAGTGATTAACAAGGTCGAGGTAAGTGTCATCAGCCGAAGCCGAAGGCTGAGGCTGATAACCCTTACCGAAACTTTGATTATTCTGGATATCACCAAAACCGAATCCAAATAACTGTTTTATTATACAGTGAACGAAAAAAAAATTGAAGTCATGTTTTTGCCTCTTTACTGACGGCAAGCAACACAAAGCCCGAGAACTTGACATGATTACCCTTAGAAGTCATGATTACCCGTGACCTTGAGTGTCCTTGACATGATTATTGTATAATCTGCAGCTAAATGACGTCACAGGCGCTGATTTCGAAAACTCACTGTACGCTTTCGGCCAATCAGAAAAGAGATGGGAGTTCAACGTATAATAACAGACCGAATTGGACTGTACTCAGTCCTATTACCATTACTAATTCTCTAATTCTCATTGGCTCATTTTGTTGTTTACGTTTCTTGTGATTGGCCAATGAAATTGGTCTCTTGGCTGTACCACACTCAACTGAAAACGGCTCGAGTATGCAAGCTCAATTAACCTAACATTGATCACGATGGAATTTCTCCTGAAAAGAAAAACAGACAGATCATAAGAATAAAACTATCGATCCCACCCTGCGAGCAGAGCCTCTTTTATCTCCTTTTTTTTCCATGGAAAAAGAGGCTCTTTTCCTTGGAACAAAGCATATGTACCGTAAGAAAAGGCTCTATTTGCAGGGTGTATCGATCTATTCAAAATGATCAATTCTCCATCCCGTATTAAGAGAGATGTGGAGAAACCAGTAAGGAGAATGTGCATGCTGATGTAACAGCAGACTGACCTTCTCACTGTAACTGTCCTGTACATAGGCGTTACCGCTGTTCAAAAACTGGTCATCCTGGTAAAACAAGTCAACAAGCGTACGGCGATCCTCTTCCTTGCAATACTGTAATAAAAATAAGCGCGTAATACATACATGTGCAACAAGACAATGTGTGTCCGGCTGTTATAGTCGGCTACCAAAACCTTGGCATGCGCCTTTGCCACGGATGGGTGCAAGAAATGGAAAGAAGGCAATGAATCTCGCCCAGCAATATTTAAAGGTGGTTTAAACAATGATGTGAAAAATTCAAATGATTTGTATGCAAGAGGGTTGAGGTTATCATGGAGTGATTTTGATACTCTTATCGCAAACTCACGTGATCCAAAACCACATGTCTGCGGTATTACATGAAATGGTTGCGTCAATTCGATGTTGCGACTTCAGTAACGTTTAGTTTTAATAAACAAGAGTGTGTGACGGATTGTTCTTACAAGTGATAAATAACAACACTGACAATAAAACTAAACAGACCCAGTCTGGCTATTTATTTTTTTGGACGCGGCTTCTACAGTGAAAGAAAAACAATCAATCCTTAGACTCATCATGACGTCATGAATGTAAACAAAGTGACGTCAATTATCAACAGAGCACAAGAGTCCTTGACGTTTACTAACAATCCATTTATTTCCCCTCATACTTGTCTTCAATGACATGTCAATAGACCATTTTATAGTTGTCTACTGAGTGACCTGGCCTTTGAATAGTAGGGAGGCTGGAGGTGACCTTGCTTTGCTACAGACTTCCCTCCTGTTGCCATTTAAATGCACATAGTTAGCATTAGAACAACTTGTTTTACACAACAAAAGCAGCGAGGTCTGTATCAAAACAAGGTCAACTCCAGTCTTGCTGCCATCCAAAGGCCAGGTCACTGAGCGGACAACTGTAAAATGATCTGTTTTTTGATTCGCGATGTCACAATGTACAATAAAGTGCTAGAATCACAAATCAGGAAAAGCAATGTACCGAAATTGAAACCAGTGTTGGAGCGTTGACTCACTTGGCCTGCCTTCAGACTCACCTTGATGTAGAGGCTGAGTGCTACAGGTCGGTGACGTATGGCCATCAGGAACTCCCCCAGAGTCAGGTTGTCCTTAAGATGCATCACAACCATGTACACTGAAAAAGACGTCATGTTAGCAACCACCAAACGCCATCCTTCATTCTTGGTCACATGGTACCCTTACTACCATTTTCGAGCTACCGTGAACGGCCAACTTTTTTCAGCGTTGTTCCACGCGTAAAACATTCAAGTTTGTCCAGACAAATTGTCACGTTTTTCAGTTGAACCAATTAACGTTTAGAGCGTGAACACGCCAAGTTTTGATAGCTCCGCCTGAATGTTTCTGCAAGTGAAACAAAGGTTTTGAAAACGTTGCGTCGAGTTTTTTTGTAACTAAAGTGCAACTCCCTGAAATAAATAAGGATAAAAATTTCGAAATTTCCAAAGGGTATTAAATCTACGAACCGACGAAATCAGCTCATGGAATTTGAGAATCGTCACGGTTGTACAGGACCAATTTTTTTTTATAGACTAACGGTTTGCGTGACATCTTGAGCCGGAGAATTCTTATGTAATGGCAGGCGTTATGTCACGTGTTCCGGCACCCAAGTAAGGTAAGGCGAAAACTATGCAAGGCTTTTTTTCTTTTTGTTCAAACAGAAGCAAAGTTAAATCCCAGAAATAATTACCCGTATAATTTACAACATTGAACACACCGAAATAAANGCATCATATTTTCAACTCTCTTGTCGGTGTTTGGAAAGGTAGTCAAACAAGGTCTTTCGTGTTTGATATACTGCTTAATTAGCCCATGACGAGACTCGCGTTAAAACTTCAGTGCACTTATTAAGTAACAAAATAAGACCATAGTGTCAATAGATCTTGACGGTTTTAGCATTTCGAAGTCATGCTCGAGTCAGTTCCCCTTTAGCTGAGTTTAGCTTTAAATAACAAATCACTTTGCAAAGTTACATCGTTGGGTTATTGCCTTCCGAGTTCTCCACGCCCACTTCCCTCACAGCAGATTTACCCTACCCCTTGCGCAAAACAGCAACAACAACTACAACAGCAACAAGAGAATAAACGAAACAGAAAAAGTAATGTCACTGAACAAAAATTCATTCTTGATGACCCACTTTGATAGCCAGCTGTGTTCTTCCACAATCAACTGCTTTGGAAGCAATCTCTGAATATGATATTCCAGGAGTCTCCCCGAGCTTAGAGTTAATGGCACGAGCTATCTCCTCGTCATCAACATTTGCCTGTTGGACCTGAGAGAAAAATACACAAATAATATTACTATGTTTTTGTAAGGCACTTTGAATCGTTCTAGATTCTTTTTCTAAAACTCAATAATAATTCATCAACTTTATACAAAGGAAATCATGACCGTGACAGAGTTTGAAATCTGATCTTAATAGGCCATTTTACAGTTGTGTGCTTAGTTACCCGGCCTGTGACTGCAAGCGAGGCTGGAGGTGACCTTGCTTTGATACAGACCTCTCTGCTTTTCTCATGTAAATGCCAACTAGTTAGCATAAGAACAACTTGATTTACACAACAAAAACAGTGAGGTCTGTATCAAAACAAGCTCACCTCCAGCCTCGCTGCCATTCAAAGGCTAGGTCACTGAACAGACATCTGTAAAATGGTCTATTAGCATGAACTTTTACAATTTTATGTCTTTGTTTTCTCTTTAGTTTTAGTTTTGATTAGGAAGATATATCAAACACTCGAGACTGTGTTTGACCACATTTCCAAACAGCTCAAAGTTAGTTAATTTTACTCTTCTACATGTTGTATTTTCATCTCTTTTCTCGGTGTTTGCCGGGAAATGTGGTCACACATGCTCTTTCGTGTTTGATAGTTTACTGCAGGGCTCGAAATTGCGACTCACTGGTCGCCAATGCGACCAAAAATTGAGCACTGGCGACT